CGGGCCGAGGAACAGATGCCGCGGGGGCAGCTCGCAGCCGCCGCCGACTTGTGAATGGGACCGGGACTCGGGCTGACACCGCTGCGCTTGCCCTGCACCGGAGATCCACAGCCGAAGGTCGCGTCCACCCGCAAGGGCCCCAGGTAAGGCGCTCCGCCAGTCCCTTCCTTTCTCCAGGACAGGGCTTCTCGGAGTGGGTGGGGGTAGGATTTCCTTAGAGACTGTCTTGGGAGGGGGGCAGGCTGAGAAGACTTCGCTAATGCAAAGCAGAAGGTGGAGGGTGTGTGTGTAAAGATTTGTTTAAAAAAAAATCAGCAAAGGAGAAGGGAGCCAGCGGAGGGCGAGGGCAGCGCAAGGGGGTAGAAGAGCCAGATGTGCGCTCCACCACTCTTCCCGGCTCAGGCCTCCTCAGGGGTCTGTGCCCAGGCCATGGCACAAGGGCTTTGCACCCGGCTGGGGCAAGGGACTGCAGAGCTAGCTCCGGACACGTCGACTGCCCCTGGTCTCCTCTCTGGGGAAAAGTCGCCCCCAGCACCGGGCTCGCCCGCCCGCGCTGCGCCTCTTTCGGAAAGCTGCGTGCGACCTGAAGACCTCTCTCTCTGAGGGGTTCCTATGCGGTCTTCCCTGATCTCCGCTGAGCGATCCCCAGAGCACAGTCCCTCGGGGTGGAGACTGCTGGGAAAGCCCCGAAAAGGGGAAGGAGCCAGGCTTGGAGCGGCGATCCCCCGCACTTTAATAGCGTGGGTTTGGTCCGCTGACTGCGGCTCTGGGGCTGCCGACTGCGGCGCGCGCTCCAGCCCTCAAGCCCAAGTCTCTTCGGAGCTCAGGCGGCGGTTCCTAAAGTCCCAACAGATCAGGGGTAGGTCTGCTAGCTGCTCGGACTAGAGCTGGGTTCGGGCTTGGGCTTGGCGAAGCCTTCCAGGGTTAACGTTAACTTTGCGAACGAAAGCTTCCCCCAAGCCTGCGCCTCCTCTCGGAGCGCGCCAAGCCTCCCCAGCTCCCAGCACGCACAGCCTCTCTGCGCTTTGCCCTCAGAACGCGAGTCCGGGGGCAGGAGGCTCGGGAGAAGCCGGCAGGAACGGAAAGGCGGCGAGATGAGCACCCCATTTCCCTGTCCCCAACCCCGAGGACCATTTGGAGGGTCGCCTCACCCTGGGGGAGCAGAGTCCCTAGAGAAAGTGGGGTCCTAGGGGCCCTAAGGTCCTGCTTCCTTGTCTGTTTCTTTACAAGGCCCGGCTTTCGCCGGTGCTGCGCGCTCCTGGCTCTCTCGGGTGAAAGGTTTTCTAGATGCTAGAAGAAGCCCTGTTGCTTTTGCTGATAATGCAGCAGGAATTTCACGGGCCGTGGCATTGCTATGAAGAAAATGCATCTTTTAATTATTTAATAATGCTATTCCCGCAGGACAACGGGTCCTTTCCTAAGCTAAGCGGTGGGAATTGGTGGTGGTGGTGGTGGTGGTGGTGGTGGTGGTGTGTGTGTGTGTGTGTGTGTGTGTATTGGGGATGGGGGGGTCGTTCCTGGAACACTGCTGCAAGAGGGATACATTTGCCTAAAGTCTTCCCTTCGGTTTCCTCCTATAGAAATCTTGTTCAGATGATTCTGAAATCTTGTTTTCTTCTGATCGTTCCTATCGGTTAAAATGAGGCAGTGAGTAAGTTTTCGGTTTAATCACAGGGAAGCAATGACAATTAATCTGGCGAGAGGCTAGATCAATTTCCTTATCACTTGGGCTTGCAGCAAACATCGATGGTTTTGCGGGG